TCACATAATTTACTTATTGAAATGAGTCAAATCCGCCCATATGTTTATAAATAAAATTATAAAATATACATTAAAATAAAGATTTTTCATAATGTATTTGATTCAAATCATGAATTCAATCAGTTATTATTATAGATTCGAATCAGTCAGTTTGAATCAAATCAAATCAGTTCAAATTGAATTATATATTCGAATCAGTTTAAATTGAATTAAATTATATATTTGAATCAAATCAAATCAATTTGAGTTTGAATCCATTTGAATCAAATTATATAAGTGTTCATGTCACACAATCCAAAAAAGGAAACCAAATGGTTGTAAAGGCAGTTGCAACCAGTGGTTGCAATCATTTTTATATAATGCAAAGGTGGTAGCAACCATCATCAAAAGTTGCAGCCAGTATCCTTATTATATATTTGAATTTAATTTGAATGAAACAAATCAAAAATTAAGTGATTTGAATTGGTTTGAATCATTTGGAGCTTTACATATGAATGTCAGTAGCATCTTTACCATTCTTCCAGCATACCAGATGTAGTATAATTGGTTTTCACATGTAGTATTTTCCATTATTGTTAATAGGCAATATTGAAAAATTATTTCTCCACAATTGTCAAACCAAGTTGTGCCAAATTTTTTATTACTTATTGAATGTTACCAAATTATTCTCAAAATGGGAAACATTAGGGGATCATCAAGATAATTGCACAGCAGCGTCAAAACTTTTTGAACCCCCCACGTAATTGGATTTTGATGAAAATAAGCTGTGAAATCAATCCTCTTGTTGATATAATCAGTCCTGATGAAAGAAAAAAATTTTAGAAGAAATTTTCTTTGAATTTAGACAAGTAATAAAAATGAATAAATTTAATAAAAAAATTGAAATGTTGCATGCATGATTTCATTGGTTATTTTCACTTGATTTTTGTGACACAATAATAATCAATGATAGAATTTTTATCTATGCTCCAATGAGTAGGGTGGGATTTTGAATGATTGGCTGATCTGACAAATTCACCAAAACAATCTTTTGAAAAAATATAAAATATAAAAATGAATCCAATATTTGAAAAATATTTTAATGAAAATGAAAGATTATTAGATACAGAAGATTTTTATGATGTAAAAATATATGTTGGTGTAGAGCCAAACATCAAAGAAGTTCATGCACATGCATCCATTATATCAGCACATTGTCCATTTTTTAACAATGTATTAAATGATGCAACAAAAGAAAATGGGTATTATATTATTAAGGAAGCTAATATTAGTGAAAAATGTTTCAAACCTATTCTCAAGTGAGTTTAAAATTTTATTTATTTATTATTAATGATAATGATAATAATCTTAATAATTTATTTATTGTTGAAAGGTTTTTATATACATGTAAGATTGAAATTGAAAATTATTCTGGAGCTGAAATATTAGAGCTATTAATTGCAGCAGATGAACTTGGTATTGAGTCACTTTATGAATATATTACAGAATACTTTATTGAAAATAGAAACGATTATATAAGTGAAAATCCAGTTAAAATTCTACAGTTGATTTATGCTAATGAAAAATTTAAGGAGTTAAAAAATATTTATTTAGATACATTTTGTGAATATAGCGAAGAATTATTTGAGTCAAGTGAATTTAAATTATTGGAGAAACCAACTCTCTTGGAAATTCTCAAAAGAGAAGATTTTTCTGTTAATGAGATGGTTATTTGGGAAAATATTCTTAAATGGGGATTGGCAAAACATCCTGAAATCAATAATATCAATGTTGAAGATTGGACATTACAAAATTTTGCAGATTTAGGCAACACATTAAAAGAATTTATTTCTCTAATGAGATTTCAGGACATTTCCAAAAATGATTTTTTTGATAAAATTGTACCATATCAAATGCTTTTTCCTAAAATTTTATGGAAAGATCTTTTACAGCATTATTTGGCTCTTGATAGACAAGAAACATTAAATTTTAATTCAACACTTGAATCATTGACAATCAATCAAAACTTAACCTTGCTTTTTGCAAGTTGGATTGATAGAAAAAATCCATCATATACCTCATTTAAGGAAGTCAGATATGAATTCAAACTTCTATATTGTAGTAGTAGAGATGGTTTAGATGCAAACATATTTCATCAAAAATGTGATAACATTGACAAAACTCTTGTAGTTGGCAAAATTCAAAATTTAGAGCAAATAGTTGGTGGTTATAACCCACTTAATTGGAATGGAAGTGTTTTTAGTGGTATATTTAGTGGTATGTTTAAAAAAACAACAGAAAGTTTTATATTTAATATAAGTAATAGGAAAGATATCAATACTGCACAAATTGGTTTTGTTATCAATAGTAATGAGGATGCAATTTATTGTAATTCTTCTCTTTTACCTATGTTTGGTGTTGATGTCTGGTTTGACACAGATAATGAGTTTGGTGGTACACCAAAGGTTTATAGTAACATCAATATAGTAAATGGTAAATTTGATGAATTAGAAGTTTTTCAAATAATTGATAAAAAATAATACAATGTTAAACTATTAATTTTACTTTATATATAATGAAAATTTAATAATTTGGGAATATTATTTAAAGGTTCCTTTTTTATTGTAAACGTGTTATTGACCATTCATTTTTTCTTAAAGTAGATCTAACCCAAGTAATGAGGTTACAGAATGGGAACAGGAAATAATTAGATTATATTGCTTATGTTTACATTATAAAACAAATAAGCATAAAAGATATAAGAATCACTAATCTTGTGAATGAATTTCATCAAAAATTTGCATGTTGATTTTACTCCCTAAATTTAAAATACAAGACATGGTCAAAAAATGATGATTTATAAGAACCCAATCTAACCAACCACATTTCCATTTTCGCTGATAGTTTTTCCGCAAATTCTAGAAGTATGCTTGATGAAAGGTAGAGATACATCAATAAAACATCAAATAAAATCTGGCCCCTCAAAGATCAGTTGAGTAAAATGGAGCCCGTAATGTATTATGGAAACACAACAAGGGTTGCGGAACGTCGCAAGCTGTTTATGTAGTGTTATTTTTAGTTTAATTTGTGTAATGAAAATAGTGATACATAATTATTCTTTCACCCAAAATAAATATGATTCACGTTAATTTTCTTTTTACACTCTTTAATTATTTCTTTTCATTATTTATTCATTCAATAAACAATGACTGATGTTAATAATAATAAAATAATGAAAATTCCAAAAAGATTATTTGATAGACTATCATCTGATTTATTACAAGTTCTTGAATCAACACAAAATTATGATGTTCTAATAAAAGTGGGTGGTGGTGACAATCTTTATGCTGAAGATTTCAATGGAAATAATGGCAATGATTTATTAGAAGAAGAGTTCATGGTACATTCTTTATTATTGTCCGCTAGATCTCCTTATTTTCGTGCAGCTTTGTCAAAAGATTGGCAAAAATTAGATAGTGAAAGAAATAATCTAATCGTATTAAATAAACCAAATATATCTCCAAAAGTCTTTAAACTAATTCTAAAGTAATCAATCAATATTTCTTTTGCAAAAAAAAATTTTTTTTTTATTTTTTTTTTTCAATTCTTAAATTAATTTCCGATCTCGAATTATTTTCTCACAACTTAATAATTTATTATATAGGTATATTTATACAGGAATACTTGATTTCAGTGATCAAGAGATAGTAGATATTTTGGACTTACTGGTTGCAGCAGATGAATTGATATTGGATGAGCTAATTGAACATGTACAAGATTATTTGATCCAAAATCAAGCTAATTGGTTACAGCAAAATATAGTAAGAGTTTTACATACAATATTTCAACATCAAACTTGTAAAAAGTTGCAGGATTATTGCCTTGAAATAATTTCCAATGATCCAAAATTTTTGTTTGAATCTGAAGATTATTTAAAACTAGAATCAAATATTTTGGTAGCTTTGTTGGAAAGAGATGATTTGGAAATGGAGGAAATTGAAATTTGGGATTATATGATTAAATGGGGCATAGCTCAATTCAGCATTAATAATCATAGACACAACAATAGTATTATTAGTAATGAACTAATTGTTGAAAATTGGGAAAGAAAAAATTTTATTGAGTTGGAAAAAACATTAAATAAATGTATTCCTCTAATAAGGTATTTTCATATTTCAGGAGATGACTATTTCAAAAAAGTTTTTCCATTTAAACGTATCCTGCCAAAATCATTGAAAAAAGATATTTATGGCTATTTTTTATCAGCAAATTATCGACCAAAGTCGATAATTCTACCACCAAGAATTTCACCAATCGATTCTACCATAGTAACAAATAAACATGCTTCAATGATTGAATTTTGGATGCAAAATCTTATTAATAGTAATATTACTATTGGTACCACCATCATTAATAACAGTAATCCAATCAATCCAATTACTAATCATGGTACACATTCAAAACGTCTAGATTATGATTGGAATTTACTGTTTAGAGCATCAAGAGATGGATTTACATCAGGTGATTTTCATTCAAAATGTGATAACAAAGGAAGTAGCATTGTATTGATAAAAATGAGAGGTCATCCTCAAATAATTGGCGGGTATAACCCAGTTGGGTGGTACACATCAAGATGTGGATACCATCCAACAGAAGACAGTTTTATATTTTCAATGAATTTTGACGAGAACAATAATTTTGATAAATGTTGTAAATTAAACAGAGTGAAAAATTCCAATTTTGCAATCTATCATGATCCATCCAGAGGTCCAACATTTGGATATCCAGATTTAAGTATTAGTGATCGATGCAATGAAAATTCCAGATCAAACTATGAACCAAAATCTTATTACTCACATAATGACACTACACAAATTCCTTCATTCTATGTTGATGACTATGAAATATTTCAGGTAACAAAATTTATTTATTAATTATAATAATAGATTGATTAATAATTAATTAATTGTTTATTTTCAGGTTATCAAATCCAAGAAAACTTTGTTCAGTTAATTATTCAACTAATCACCGGCCCCACCAGATGATTTCCAAGCACCAAGAATTAATTCAATGACTTCAGGTATACCAACACCATTTTTAACTTGGGTGAATAAAGTTGGTCCACTTTCCCTATAAATATATTTTATAATCATTGACTGTTAACAATTTTGTCAACAATCAAATTAAATGCAAACATTATCATTGATTTACCTCATTTTACGTGCATCTCTTTCCATTACTGATAGATCGGCACCCACTATCTCTGCTAAATCAGTTTTATTAATAATCAATAGATCTGATTGAGTGATACCTGGTCCTCCTTTACGGGGTATCTTATCACCACCTGCTACATCAATAACTATTTTATATTTAATTTTTATTAATTAGAATGTTTATACATGTAATTTTAGTTATTTAATTTATTACTATTCATTACAATATATTTAAATAAAATAAGCTTAGAATTTTTTCTTACCATAAATGATATAATCTGCCAATTCACGCGAGTAATTTGCTATAAAGAAATTTAAATCAATCAATCAATCACATCAGAGAATATATATATACATTCTCTGCCCGCCCCACCCACATATATATATTAAATATTATTACCAGCTAAATTATCACCTCCACTCTCGATCAACAATAACTGAGTGTTGAATTTAGCATGTAATTGTTCCAATGCATTCAAATTAGCCGAAATATCTTCACGTATTGCAGCATGTGGACATCCACCTGTTTCGATGGCTTTGATACGTTCAGTTGGTAATGCCTCATTACGTACTAGGAATTCGGTATCCTCTTTCGTGAATATGTCATTGGTAACTGCTGCAATTGAATATTGGTTTCTTAATGCTTTACATAATGCTAACATCAATGCCGTTTTTCCTGACCCAACTGGTCTAAACAATTGATAAAATTTGTAGGATGATTAATATAAGAGTTGTGACTTTGATTGATAGATTGATTCTAATTTTAAGTTTTAATTCTAATTCTAATCTAATTCTAAAGTTTATAAATTAATAATAATAATTGAAAAATATCACTTACCCACCAATTCCAACTGTGAAAGCTCGTTCTTTCCAATTTCTATTTTCAATTTTTGGCAATTCTCGTTCTGTATACTTTCCAGGATTTTCTAAATGTTCATGTGTATGCCCATGATCTCCTCCCGCTCCTACTCCGCCATGACTATGTTGTGGTCCACTTTCGTCATGTGAGTGAGAATGGCTATTGTTATTATTATCAGTATTTGACATATGGTCTTCGAAACGACAAACTTCTTTTTGTGAGCTCATTATTATATTATTATTAATTTATAAATTTTGGAAATATTTATTTGGTAATAAATAGTAAAAGAAAAAAAAAGAAGCAAAGAAAAATTTAAGAATATTGATCTTACTAAAATAGTATTACCGATAAACTAAATTGCTATTGTTATTATCATCATTATAATTGGTCAAAGATAATCAATCATTTAAATGAGGGGTGGGAATAGAAGACATTGTTATTCGTGATTCATTACATCTCATTCACTGCATTCTCTTTCCATTCATTCATCCGTTCATTCACCCATTAATTTATCAATTTCTTATACATAATGAGCGAAATAAAGTAAAAAATCTCGATCAACCTATCTCTTATCATCTTATCAATGTGGTACACACACATTTTTAAAAAGTGTGAAAATTTTTTAAAAATATAATATTTTAATGTTTTTATCATTTCATATTGTTTACATTATTTAATATTTAGTCATTTAACAAATAGCTCAAAAAAAATCTATATATTAATCAATAATGAGATTGGTACCTCGAGAGCTTGATAAACTTGTTCTTCACCAAGTTGGTTCCTTAGCTCAAAAACGTCTTGCACGTGGAGTAAAATTAAACCATACAGAAGCCACCGCTCTCATTGCCTCTCAACTATTAGAATTGATCCGTGATGGCAATAATTCTGTTTCAGATTTGATGAACATTGGCAAACTAATACTCGGGAGACAACATGTTCAGCCTGATGTTTTGGAAACTTTGGTCGAAGTGCAAGTTGAAGGAACTTTTCCCGACGGCACTTATTTGGTTACTGTCCATGACCCAATCTCTTCTGATGATGTTGACTTGGGATTGGCTTTGTACGGAAGTTTCTTACCGATTCCTGATAAATCTAAATTTACTCGACAAACAACAGTAGTTAGTAAGGAAGATAAAGATGTTGCTCCCGGCGCTGTTATTGTTAAACCTGGTAAAATTATTTTGAATGAAGGTAGAGAAAGAGTTGCTGTAAAGGTTACCAATACCGGTGATAGACCAATTCAAGTAAATATATGCATTGATAAATTTTTTTATTCAAAGTACTCACGTGATTATTATGATGACCAATAAAAATAACTCTGATTTATAATCTTTACACATATTTATATAGGTTGGGTCCCATTATCATTTTATTGAGACGAATCCAGCATTGGAATTTGATAGGGGTCAATCATATGGTAAAAGACTTGATATACCAGCTGGATCAGCTGTACGTTTTGAGCCAGGCGAAACAAAAACAGTCACATTGGTATCAATTGCTGGATCGAAATATATCAGTGGTGGAAATGGAATAGCAACTGGCAAGGTTGATTTGTCAAAAATTGAATCAATTGTTGAAACTTTATTAAATAAAGGATTTAAACATAGCCCACAACAACAACTTGCTTCATCATCGTGCACCCCATACACTATTGACAGAAGAGCTTATTCTGATATTTTTGGTCCAACAACTGGGGATAAAGTTAGATTGGGTAATACTAATTTATGGTTGGAGATTGAAAAGGATTATACCAAGTATGGCGATGAGTGTAAATTTGGTGGTGGCAAAGTGTTGAGAGAGGGTATGGGTCAATCAACTACCATAACTGACAAGGATGCTTTAGATTTAGTTATAACTAATGCTATAGTTCTTGATTATACTGGAATTTATAAAGTAATTATACTATTATTTTTATTTTGTTGGAGAGGAAAATATTATTTTTGTTAATAATTTAATAAATTTTTCATATTTGTAAATAAGGCTGATATTGGAATAAAGAATGGATTAATTGTTGGTGTTGGTAAAGCTGGTAATCCTGATGTTATGGAAGGTGTGACACCTGGAATGATTGTAGGTGCTACTACTGAAGCCTTGGCTGGTGAAGGTCACATATTCACAGCTGGTGCCTTGGATGTTCACGTTCATTATATTTGTCCTCAATTAATTCCTGAGGTAAACCTACGTTTCTTAATATTAATAATTTAATAAATTTTTATTAATTCATTAATTGACACATTCTCACGTACGTCTTCTCTTCTTCTTTCTCTCACATTTATTACATATAGGCATTATCATCTGGTATTACAACATTAGTAGGTGGAGGTACAGGGCCAAATACTGGTACCAATGCAACAACATGTACACCGGGGCAACATCATATAGAAATGATGTTATCTGCAACAGATGATATGCCAATTAATTTTGGTTTTACTGGTAAAGGTAATTCGTCAGATCCTGTTGCTTTAGTGGAGCAAATCAGAGCAGGTGCTATGGGATTGAAATTACATGAAGATTGGGGTACAACACCTGCTGCCATTGACACTTGTTTAGCTGTTGCAGAAGAATATGACGTTCAGGTATATAAATAATATATATATCATAATATTAATAATAGTAATCATATATTAATATTGTTTATATTTATTACTAGGTAAATATTCATACAGATACACTCAACGAGTCAGGATTTGTAGAGAATTCAATAGAAGCTTTCAAGAACCGTACAATTCATGCATACCATTCTGAGGGAGCAGGTGGCGGACATGCACCAGATATTATCAAAGTATGTGGTGAACCAAATATTATACCATCATCAACCAATCCAACAAGACCTTATACATCAAATACACTTGACGAACATGTTGATATGTTGATGGTTTGTCATCATCTTGACAAAAATATCCCAGAGGATATTGCATTTGCTGAATCGCGTATAAGAGCTGAGACAATTGCTGCTGAGGATGTTTTACATGATTTAGGAGCTATTAGTATCATTAGTTCTGATTCACAAGCTATGGGTAGAATCGGTGAAGTGGTGCTAAGAACCTGGAAGACTGCTCACAAAATGAAATCCCAAAGAGGTAGATTAGGTGATGATAATGATGGTCAGGCTGATAATTTCAGAATTAAAAGATATGTTGCCAAATACACCATCAACCCGTAAGTATATAAATCTTATAATTATTAATTCTTTTTTTTTTTTTTTAATATAAATTTTTAATTTTTATCTCCTGAATGGGAAATATAATAAAATATATATAGTGCTATCGTGTGTGGTATAGGACATTTGGTAGGATCAATTGAAGTTGGAAAAGTAGCAGACTTGGCGATGTACAATCCAGCATTCTTTGGTACAAAACCAGAAATAGTTATCAAGTCGGGTGTAATTGTTTGGTCACAAATGGGTGATGCAAATGCCTCGATCCCAACAACTCAACCTGTTATTTCAAGACCAATGTTTGGTTCATATGGATCAGCTGCAGCCAAAAATTCATTTGCATTTGTTAGTCAATTGTCATTACTTGAATCAACAGTACGACATTATGGTTTGAAGAAGAAGATTGAGGCGGTGAAGAAGTGTAGAAATATTGGTAAAAAAGATATGAAATTGAATGATTATTTGCCAAAGATAGAGGTAGACCCAGAAACTTATGTTGTTAAAGCTGATGGAGTTGTATGTTCCTGTGATCCTATCAAGTATTTACCTTTAACTCAATCTGTTTATTTGTTTTAAAATTTTTTTATTTAGTCGTTTGATAAAAATATTTTTCATTCTTTTATTTTTTTTCTTTTATATATATTTTGTTATTAATTTATATATATTTATTTGTATTTATTTTTTAAAATTTAAATTTGGTCAATGTTAAAAATAAAATCAAGAATTTATTTAAAATTTATTACATTAGTTTTTATCAATTAATTACTTGAAAAGCTTTCATTTACTAATGTTATTATAAATAGTTGATTTACTATAAAATATTACCGCCACAATCAAAAACAGGCAAATTACTAATTACGTTACCTATGTTAAATATAAAATCATTTGTCTTTTATGTCCACTGGCCATTTCAATCAAATGAATTGTATATTATATTATCACGTTTTTAGTTGCATCCAAACTATAAAAGTCAAATTTATATTTAACTTTTCTGAATTGAGTTAATTCCATGGTAGGCTTTTTCTATCAATCCAATTTGCAATAAGCTTGTTGTTGATTGTTGTTGATTCAAGCATTGAATTCAATTGATTCAAATTTGGGACTTCTTGATGGTAATAAATTTAACATTTGTTGTGCTGTGAAAGGTTATTCCAAAATAACTTTGGGGAAAAAGTATTTGACAACTTTCTCATTAGAAGAAATTGTATAGAAAATTTTTTGATTCTTTAAAATCATTTTCATTCCACTTGGAAATATTTTTCTTTAGAATTTTCTTGAACTCCATTGGAAAGCACATCAATTTCTTTCCAAGAAAGACATAAACAATGGTTTTCAATACCTTTGAAATCATTGGATTTTAAGGACCATCCTGAGCCACTGTTGATTAATTTTTCAAAGTAATTTTCAAGTATACCAAATAGTAATTAGATACATTGATGAAGATTGATTGAAACCTAAATTGAGTTGAATCCAGTTTTTTTTTCCAATAATTAAATGGCTTTGTAAATCATCATATGATGATGATAAAATAATATGATGGCGATTATTTGATCGCGTCGTGTCACATGTCGTGGATGGCGCAAATGTATATTATTAATATAGCATATTGATATATATTGATAATAGGAGCTTTTCAAATATACATATAAGCTGAACTTTTGGGAAATAGATTCGGCTTATAGAAATTCAGTTTATGATGATGATTTACAATTATTTTACTATTAAGGTAATTATAAATTGAATTGTATCATTATAAAAATTATAAGACAAATTTTAACAAGATAATTTATTAATTATGTTTTTGGTTAACCAATTTTGCATTGTCATAAAACAAAAACCAGTAGTTTGGCTTGAATTGAAAATGATGAGAAAAATAAAAGATCTACATTACTATTGTTTTGAACAATTTGAACAATATGCAAGAGTGAGTATATGTAGTTTCTAAGCCAAAAATGGTTCTACGTGAAGAATATTACATATCAGAGTAGTATTAACTTGAGATTACATTTTTCATATGTTTCTATTGAAAATTTCCCATATATGTATAGCAAAGAATTATTATTACAATACAAACGGAGCTTGAGAATGATAACAATTGGAGCACTGGATATGGTTATGACAATGATCATAGCAGCAACGAACCCACATGGAAGGGATGAGTTCAACGTCGCAATCAAAGATAAATGTTATAAGGATATTGACTCATCAAAGGTTTCGATGGAGTTTGAAATGTGCCACCCAATCTCCAATGATTACCTGCTCAAGACCTCCGAAAGCATACAAAGAGGGAGGGATCCAGATCACCTATCTTTCATTTATTAACATTTTCAACAGCGGAATAATTATCACCGAATCAAACACAGAAAAAGATAGATAGGGAAAAGCCCTTGCTGCCTCCATAAGAACAAAAGTAATTGGCCAATTTGGCCGTTCAGAATGTCATGTACGAATTATAAATTTACCTAATAAAATTTTACAATCAAATAACTCCTAATTTCCATAAATACCCTTGTTGTGTAATAATAATAACCACCATACTAAATTCGATTCCTGCTTTAAGACCCTTAAAGTCAAATTTTGCCTTTATATTCATAAATGTAGAAATTTCTTTAGCATGTCCAATTACAAACAAAAGTAGAAACCAATGTCCAAATATTACATTATTATGAAATATTTACAGATTTCGATCACTTATGTATGTCCTTTATAGTAAAATGATTGGAGTGATAATATTATATAGATATGGTTTATAAATGAACATTAAAATTTCTTTTATCTTTTGGTCCTATAAATGTAATTAATAATGATTAAGCAAGAAACTATAATGATGGAGAAGAAAGATGCGGATATGTTGATTTTTTGTATATTATTTATTAAATTTACATGGTATTTTCATCACCATTTTCATATTTATTTCATCAAGTAATAAACTATTATTAATAAGATTAACTTTCTCTAATCTATTTATGTAGAATTTTACATCAGAGACAATACCTTTTTTGTAAAAGTCCAAGAATATTCTTTTTGTTGAAACAGTATTGAGTTAAGTGAATGAATGATGGCGAAGGTTATATTTTTCATATGTAGCCATCAGTTATTTTACATAACAATACACTTTAGTTTCTACCTTTTGTAAAATTTTCAATCGCTCAAAAATTCCCAAAGTTGAATTATTTCTTATAAAGGCTTTCATGTCAATTGATAACGGCATTGGATTAAGTGAATGAATGGAGGCGGGCTTGGATGTTTTATATACATCCATTAGTTATTTTTTACATAAGCATACACTTTAGGTTTTTAACTTACTGTAAAATTTAAATTCCCAAAATCGAATTATTTCTTATAAGGGCTTTCATTGTTGTCAGTTGATAACGGCATTGGATTAAGTGACCTTCTTATACCATCTATCAAACTCATTTTGGGTATTAAAAATGAAAAATACCAAGATAAGGAGAGTCATGATTTTGGTGCCAAAAAAGCGAAGAATATTAATTGGACCAGTTTCAAGCCAAAATTCCAAATTACAATTAATTGAATTTCTTTTTAGCGTCAAAAATCAACTTTTTAATATTATTATTTTAAGGATTGCGACGTCTAAAACTGTCCCAATTCGCAGAAAAACTATTCAAATTTCCATAGTTACGATCCCTTATGATAAGAGTAATAACATTAAGGTACCTATGAATAATTTGCTGAAATCGTGCTGCTTCAGCAGGATGCATATCACCAAGGTGGTGATCCTTTTTATCATTTAAAATTAGTCACAAGCAAAAAACAATCAGTTGCGGTGCGCATATATATATATATATATATATATGCAAAAAAAAAAAATCCAAAAACGATACTAACTCGAATAAAAACAAGATATCGTCTTACACTACCTTGAAGATTAAGTGCTCGATGACGCAATCGATATTGTTCTATACGACGACTAATAGCTGCAGGAGTTCGCGCATGTCGTCTGCGAGCCATCTAAATATAAAAAAAGGTCAAAACAAGTTTAGGAATCGATAATTTTTCACGGAAGGATGAAAGAAAGGATAAAATAAATAAATTAAAAGTTCATGAAGAAGTGAAGTACGTATATTAATGAAAAGCCAACTCTAAACATAATGTTTTAGGGATGCAAGCATTATATTCAGGGTCATAGCCATACTCCTTTCGAACACATGTTCAAAGTGAGGACCCAAGTAGATTCAAGGCCTTGATAAATAAAAATTAAAATAAAAAAAAGAAAACCAGCGTTAACAAGAACAAGAAACAAAAGACTTGCCTTTTAGTAGAGAGTAGTAGTGGTAGAAGTAGAAGAAGCAGCGGTTGATAATACAAAGAATTGGAAAATATTTTCACAAAGAGACTGAAATTGGATAGATATAGAGGAATTACTTGTTTCAAAACTGGATCAGTAAGATTTTCAACTCATGTTCTTTTCCCATTAACCGATAAATAAACACAAAAGAGACCGAATTGGATATATTGGATATGCAAAGAGGAATTACTTGTTTTGAACTGGTTCAGTTCTATTTTATTTTCCAATGGGAATTGAAAATTTTAAATCATATTAATATATGAGTTATTTGAGGGAGGATAAATGAATATGAAGCAATTGATTATCGCATAACAACTCTATCATATTTTATTTTCATCTTTAGCTCCCATTGATATCTTTGAAATAAAATATCATAATATTAATAATATTTTAATGATTACATCCTAAATACATGAACAAATAATTCTTTTGTAAAATCATAGGTTTTTTTTTAATTTCTTTTCTGCTGAATCAAAATATACATAAAATTTTTGACATGACTATTAAATTTCTATAAAATAGTTTTTCATAAACCTCTCTAAAACTTATTAACCAACACCCTCATAAAGTAATAACAATGTGAAGGCTTGGGATATTTTACATCTACTATCAAGTCTTTTAAAGCGATACTGAAAATAATCTCAGCTACGAAACAAAAAATTAACACCATTTTTGAATAGTCGTGGGTTTATGAAAAGATATTCGTTATTAGAAAGTTTTAAAAAACAGTCTGTTACACGAGTTAGAGATTTTTATTTTATGTATTAATATAGAGAGTGAAAACATATTTAAACAATATGCTAATTAAACAAATAATATTTTTATTTCTTTATAATTAAATGCTTTAAGAGAGGTAAGGGCCAGAAAATGAAATATTTGGTTGACGGTTAGTCATTTTAACTATAATTTATAATTTTATTAATTCAAATATTGTTTGTGCAAAAATAGATGTCGTCAAACCAGGAAAAAAACTTCTCTCGAAGAAACAACGAAGCCCAAGAAGGACATTAGTGACGCTCGAAGTAATATTCCCATAGAAAATTAATTTACTTGATTCTAGTTTTTAATTTTTGGTTATTTATTTTTTTTCTTTTGTTAATTAAATAGCAAGACTAACAAATTGAAAGGTTGTATATACACAATTCATGGATCAAATTGGTCCAAGATAGCCGAGGAAATGAACTCTCTTGACTTTTGTGAAATTTGTTGAGAGGTAATTGGCTGTTAATTATTATTAATGTTAGTTAAATATTTAATATATATTATTTATTTATTTCTAAATTAATTAATAAGTTTTTATTTCTTCCCTTCCCTTCTTTTTCTTCAGATGCGTTAATCACTTGGATCCGAACAGTTAATAAAATGCTTTCTTTTTTTCTTTTCCAATAAAATTTCTTACAACTAAAATAAATAATCAAATTATTATTATTATTTCAGTAAATCATGGCAAATTAACCAAAAGGGAAAGATACATAATCAAAATATTAGCTTGGAAAAATGGCAATGATTCCTCTTTAATAGCTCGATTCCTCCAGAACCGCACACAATTGCAAGCCAAAAATTATTTCGACTTCCATAAAAGCAAACTCGCACGAGTCAAATCATCGGGTAGAAAATTCCCTACAAATAAAAATCGGAGGCCCGCTTTCCCATGTTGAAATAAACATAATCAATTCTTATGCAAATAATCATCCTGATTACATTGTAAAAGCGTTAGGAAATAATAGACGAGACAAATATAAAGTTGAATTTTATTTCATCACTCAAAAAAAAAAAAAGAAAATTTTATTTGACATGCAAAAACAGAACTCTTGATAAACGACCAACTTTTGCGAATATTTTAAATCCTTGTACCTAATTTAATTATATATATAATAAATTCATTATCAAGTAATATAATGTATGTTTTATCACCATGCACTATATTTATATTATTATAAAGAATACGGTACGATTCCTGACAACTCATTTCACCAACTAAACTGACCATCATTTACAAATTGAATTTTTGTTGATTGCACATGCTATCGGGGAAACGGTTGTTGGGGAAATGGGCGCAACCAATTGTAAGAATTTACTGAACTAATGAATGGAATTGCTATTATAAAAATAAATATCAGGACTATCGTCAAATCTAGGAAGGTTAGTTACTAAACTACGCAGTACTGATATATTAAATATGAACCTTCACCAACTATTTGTTCTTTTCTCAGCTACAATAGTTTGGTTGATATTATCGCATTTTTGATGAAATGAAGCTGCATTTAAACCATCTCTACATATCTACCTACTATTATGATATAAAAGCATGAGTTTGTATTTAACTTCGAATGAATTATATGGTGGATTCTTTCCCTTTTTTAATCATTATTGAGTCAAGTTTGGATTTCTTGATTAAAAATCCGAACGGTTCAGCCTAAAAATTTTCGGTTAATATTAAATTCTGTTTTGTTGTTGAACGAACTGAACCGAAAATTGAATTGTAAAAAAAATATTAATAAATAGCACGTGACATTTGTCATTGCACTGGTTTTTTTGATTTTGGGCTTTGAAGTTTATGTATGATATGTAGATACACGTAAAAAACAAAACAAAATATAGCTTCAGTTTGTATTAGCGAGTTAATTTCATTTATTTATTTAATTCACAAAGCTTTTGTTGATATTTAAATATGAAGTTTGCAAAGTGTTAAACAGCGAATGATTAAGAACAATGTTTTTATTATCTGACTCTTTATTTTTATTATTATTTTTTTTTTTCAATTTTTAACCAAACTAATCCGAAACCTAACAGATAATAAATTTTAATGTTGATAGATGCAATATTAACATTGGATATTTTGATAAACACTATCCAAGAATACATATGAAATTTAAAATATGAAAGAACTGGTGAAAAATGCAGAAGATAAAGAAAGAATATGATTTGTTTATGGTAATTTAAAAGTATGCAATAATAAAAAAGATTTTTAAGAAAATACAATCATTCAAAAATCAATTTCTATTGACAACCAGGAAATCAATTGTTATGATTTAAAGCGATGGTTTATTTTTTTAAAAGAGATGGTTATTGATCCAGAGGAAGATGTAGAATGAAATCAACGGTACACCAATTTCGAGACTAATCGTAAAGAAATTTGGAAGAAAAATAAAGTTATTATCTATCATTGAAAGTGAAAAAGTCACATGTATCAATAAATAATAAAATAATAATGATGATAGACTATATCTACTAGTGTATAGAAACAAATTATAAAAATATTTACTGCGTAATGTTTTTTATTTATATAATTATGATCCATAATTCAGTTTTTGGTTATTTTATCAATTATTTGAAAGACTTCCAGCTCATCATAGTTACTATCGTCTACTATATCGATGTTATTATAAGTTACTGAATAACTACCAATGCCATCTGCATCAAAATAAATATCATAACCGTCACCAAAAACAGGCAAACCAGAAGAGTAACACCAAGTTGCATGATCATAATCACTATCAATAATATAACTAAATTGTGCAGTCTTGGTGTCATTTCTATTGCTTATATTAAATATAAAGTTTTCGGTTGATCTCTTAAAATTACCATTTTCATCTCCATTCCAATCAAGTGGATTGTAACCGCCAATTATTTGATCCGAGTTTTGAATTTTGGCAACTACGAGGGTTTTGTTGATGTTATCACATTTTCTATGAAACACAGCCGCATCCAAACCATCTCTACTGCTACGATATAGAAGCTTGAATTCATATTTGACTTCCTTGAATGAATTATATGGCGGATTTTTTCTATCAATCCAACTTGCAAAAAGCAAAGTAAGCTTTTGATTAATTGTTATTGATTCAATTTTTGGAATCCTTGACGGTAGTAATATTAGTGTTTGTTGTGGATTAGGAAATAAGTAACATTGCAAGAAGAGGTTATCCCGGAATAACTCTGAAAAAAGTTTTTGATGTGGCTTAATTTTATTGCTGAATTCCACACTAGAGATATCCTGGAATCGAATCAAAGGAATGATGTCTTGTATTATGTTCTTTAATTCCCTGAAATCATTTTCATTCAACTCTGAAATGATATTTCTTCCTCCTTCCAAATTTTCAATCTGCCCAATGCCCCATTGGATAACATGATCCCAAACATCAATTTCCTTCAAGTCTAAATTTTCTTTTTCTAATAAAGTCATTAGTAGTGGTTTTTCTATGTCTTTGAAATCATTAGATTTTAAAAACAATCCTGGTTCATCATTAATTATGTCATTAAAATAACCTTGAAATAAATTGAATGATGATTGGTGTCTTGATGAGATTTGATAAAGGTAATTTAAATCTTGTTGAACCCATTCTTCTTCTTTTTTAATCAAATAATTTTGTATATCATCAAGTAATTCATAAAAATTTAATTCATCACATGCCACAAGAAGTTCAACAATTTCATAAAAATCCAATTTATCCGTGTTAATCATTCCATTATAAATATATCTTTTGTATAAATATAATAATAATAAAAGTAATGCTGATTGTTTAGACATGTTATTCAAAAAAACAATTGTTATTTTTATAAATTAACTTATTCTTACGTTAAAAGAACTTCAAACACTTTTGGAGAGATGTTATCTTTCTCAAATAAAATAGTGCCATCATCAGATCTTTTGATCCAGTTAGTT